CCACCGCCGGCACCGGGGGAAGCGCTGCGAGGGAGAGGCCACCGCGCCCTGGCTCACGCTACTTCCCTCCCATCCCTCGGCCTCTCTCCCAGTAGGAATTCGGGTGCCGCCCTGCCCCACGGTAAGAAGGTTCACCCGCGCTTCTCTCCCGCTGCGGGGATGCTCCCATGCCCTATGGGATCCGTAACTGGAAGGCAAAGCAGTAATCGGAGCATTTACCCTTGTACGGTTTCTTTCCAGATGCAGAGGTGCGCTAGTTTCCTATTTCTGGCTTTAATCCTTTGTGCCGCCCTGTCAGAAACGTTTGGACTGGTTTTCTCAGTAAGTACTAATTTCACTGTTGGAGGTCCTATCTGTTGGGCAGCATCCATGCCTCAGCTGGCAAGTAACAGTAAACTTTGCAATGATATAGACTGTATTTAGATATAAGGGCTGGACAGGCTGCAGCACTCAAAAGCACTTTGGGCACTAAACAGTTTTTTAGTTGAGAATTTGGGGCCTTAGAATACTAGCTCCTTTGTAACAAACGATATGACCAAAGTGAAAAGAGAATGTCTAGTTTATAGATCAAAATTGAATGGATGGCCCATCTGATACAGAAAAGGCAGTGTACACATGGGCTTTTTAAAATAAAGATGCTGTCATATAAATCCAAACAATTAAAAGAAAATATTGCTATTTGTTAAGCTGATTATCAGAGGGAGTTTAAACTTGCAGTATAAAGTCGAAATTTCTGCCTCCAAAGTGTGATTTGCAGTTTCATTTATACGATGTGAAATCTTTTCCCCACATGGATGCAAATAGCAAAGCTATTGACCTAGATGGGAAGGGGGCAAGAGTTCACTGTTATTATTTGTTTCAATATTATCGGCTTTTATTTTTTACAATATTTCTTGATTCCAAGTCCTCAGAGGACACTTTCTGCTAAGAGAATGTATGTTTGGGTCCTGTTGCTTTGCCTTCAGAAAGGACTGTGTAGTTCATGCATTAACATAATTGTTTTTTTCTCTTCAAGGCAAAAGAAAAAAGGGGCTGGACTTTGAATAGTGCTGGTTACCTCCTTGGGCCACGTGAGTCAAATATTCTGTTTTGCATTATTTCAAAATGCAGAAGTTTTTTCTTGTAAAACAGCTTGCTGTAGTGTGCTAATCGCTTTCCTGATGAATATAGTAATTTTGTCTAAACCTGCAAGACTGAAGAAAGCTCATTTGGGAGAATACTTGTTTAGCTATTTGCTACAGGCCTATTGTGGAATTGAGTTGTCTGAGACCATAACCATTCTTTTCTAAAGTGGAACTGTGCTGTGAGGCTTTACACGCAGAAGTGCATTTGGTCGCTCTTTGTGTTTCTGAACTGTAATTTTCCTATGACAAATACTTCACTGCCCCTCTCCCCCCGAAAGTGTTACAAAATCTTATAGCATCTTAGACATCATGAGAAGAATGACAAAATATGATGTTTTGACATTTCTCAATATATTTCAGATTTCACCTTTAAATCTATCTGAAAATGGCTTTGCTACCCGACTTTATTATACTACAATTTTATTCTTCTAATTAAAGCAAAACAAATTAAAACAATAACATGCAAACTCATGACTAAATATTAATAGTTCACTATGTGAAAAATATTTTATGTGTAAGGTGTTTAAAATACAGGAACACATTGGTTTGCAAAGATGGAGTATCACAAATGTAGATTATAAGAAAAGTGAAATGCAATGCTAAGCCGTCTCAAGTGTCTGCCCTTTTACCATTATTTCTTGTTAATGTAAAATCATTCATTACCAATGTTCCTATATATTCAGTCCCAGTAATACATGGCAAATACTACAGATACTTACTATGACTCTCTTTTTGACTAACTTTAAGGATGTCTTAAAAAATAAATAATGCATCTTCAATGTATTAACTGGTTCTGTAAATGTCTGGAAGTATATTTGCCCTGAAGCAAATCTAACCAAATTGACAAAGGTACTGTGGGGAAATGTGCTTGTCAAAGTGCCGTTTATCCAAGACTGAATAATAGGAATCATCCTTTGTTGCAGGTCGTATTGATCAGCTTTTGCTGATAAAGGAAATGTCCATTGCAAGGGGGAGAGAAGAGGCACCAGGGGCATGTAAGATAGTTTACATGAATAACATTCGAAAACTATCTGCAGTTTTCTTTTAAGCAAAATCATTGGCAGCATTTTCTAAAAATAGGGGAAAGAGGAGCAAAAACAACTTTCCAAATTACATGTGAATGTGCAAACTTACATTTTTTTTACAACTTCCTCTGAATTCAGTAATAGCTTCAGCAAGTACGTAGTACAGGACTGGTCTGTAAATGACATAAATCATAAGCACAAATTCAGAAGAAAGGTTATTTTATTTAGTGACATATTAATTGCTTCTTTGTCATTTTGTACATCAAAAGTGCCCATCATGTTCTTTTCTTTGAAATCCATGAAAAGCAACAATATAGCAAAGGTTGTTAAGCCAATTAACTCCTCTGATTTTTAATTTATTTATCAGATGCAGTAGATAACCACAGATCTCTTAATGACAAACATGGTTTCACCGGTAAACGTGAGATACAGCCTGATGAGGACATTAAAGCAGGTAATTCAATTCTGAAAGCCAGTATTGTTGATTTGTTTTTTATGTTTAGTAATTTACTTACTGTTACTGAGTTAACTAACTACCTAGATACAAGGCAATTCCTGCACTTCAACAAAAATCCTAATAAACATATGAAAGGAAGAAAAATGAAATTTGCCCATTCAGTGTGCTCTTTGTACATGGTCATAGTTTAAAACATCTTGGTGCCTAGGGAAAAGTACCATAACTATATGTTGCTTTTAAAGTATAATAGATCATACTACTTTGAATAAACCTAGTTTTTTCTTTTCATATATTCAGATAAATATTTCAAATGTCATCTTAGACACTCAAGAGTTAATTTTTTAAAGCAAAGGTGTGAGCCCATAAAGGAATCTTTCAGTAGGGAAATAGAAACTGGCAATTTTTTTTTTCATTCTGATACTCCAGAGCTGAAACCAGACTTCAGAACTGTATGGTACTGTTTATGTTCTAAGAGTCTTCTCTATTTGAAAAAAAAAAAAAAAATCTATGTTGACACTCACAATATCTCCTGTATTTTAGAATCTGGCCAAAAACCAAGTCAAGTAAACACTGTTTAGAGCTAGCATGTATCAGAATTTAGTAAATGGCAATGAAAAGGATGCAGCCTTGCTCTGGAGTCATCATTCAAAGCTGGGCCTCTGCAATATATGTTTAGACTCCCTTTATGAAAAGAAGCTGGTGCATTTAGGATTTAACACCTCCTTCAGATAAGATGTAGAAACTTCTAGAAAAACCTGTCTCTTTCTTCTGAGGAGAAGCTAAATTTGCTGTAGACATCTAAAGTGAGCTGAGATGAATCTCATCTTTAGACTGTCAAAGAGCTCCTCACTGCAACCAAAGAAAGCAGTACTTACTTGAGTAATATTGCATTTATCACTGCACTAATGGGAGAAGACAAAGTCCCAGTCCGAGAGCTCTCACAGGCTGTTTTAAATCCACTCAGCACAATGCGAATTTAGCTAATACTAAATAAGTTCATAAATAGAGGAAATGTTCTTACTTAAAAGTTTCATAGACATAATTACTTTGTAAATAGAACCATAGAATGGTTTGGAATGGAAGGGACCTTAAAGATCATCTAGTACCAACCCCTCTGCTACAGGCAAGGACACCTTCCACTGGATCAGGTTGCTCAAAGCCTCATCCAACCTGGCCTTGAACACTTCCAGGGATCAGACATCCACAATTTCTCTGGGCAACCTCTTCCAGTGTTTCACCACCCTCAGAGTGAAGAATTTCCTCCTTAGATCTAATCTAAATCTCCCCTCTTTCAGTTTAAAGCAAATACCCCTTGTCCTCTCAGTATGTGCCCTTGTAAAAAGTTTCTCTCCGGTTTTCTTGTGGGCCCCCTTTAGGTACTGGAAGACTGCTATGAGACCTGCTCCGATAGCTCTATGCCCTTTTTATGTTAGGGACTCTAGAGCTGAATGCAGTATTCCAGGTGGGGTCTCACGAGAGCAGACTAGAGGGGCAGAATCACCTCCCTCGATCTGCTGGCCACACTTCTTTGGATGCAGCCCAGGATACGGTTGGCTTTCTGGACTGCAAGCGCACATTGCCGGCTCATGTTGAGCGTCTCATTGATCAGCATGCCCAAGTTCTTCTCCTCAGGGCTGCTTTCAATCCATTCTCTGTCCAGACTGTACTTGTGCTTGGCATTGCCCTGATCCATGTGCAAGACCTTGCACTTGGCCTTGTTGAACTTCATGAGGTTCTCACAGGCCCACCTCTCCAGCCTGTCAAGGTCCCTCTGGATGGCATCCCTTCCCTCCAGAGTGTTCACAACACCACACAGCTTGGTGTCATCTGCAAACTTGCTGATGGTGCACTCGATCCCACTGTCCATGTCGCCAACAGAGATGTTAAACAGTGCTGGCCTCAATACCAACCCCTGAGGAACACCACTCATCACTGGTCTCCACTTGTGCATCGAGCCGTTGACCACAACTCTCTGAGTGCGACCATCCAGCCAATTCCTTATCTACCGAATGGTCATCTGTCATAAATATGTTTCTCCAATTCAGAGGCAAGGACATCATGTGGGATAGTGCGAAATGCTTTGCACAAGTCCAGAAGAGTAACAGTAATTTCTTAGTTGCTACATTCTCAGAGTCACTGCCAGTTTAGTTCTGGTATATACACAGCAGGGTTTTACTTGTGTGGTGGTTGTTTTGTTTTGTTCTTTTCTGGTTGATTGTTTTGGTGTTTTGTCTGTTTTTAACAAAAAAGTTGAAAAAAAAAAAAAGGAAGAACCTACTTCCTCAAACACTGGTGTAAAAATAATATTTAATATTGTGCCAGTCAGAAATTATGTGCAAGGAAGGCATTTGTAATCTAAAAATGCAGCTCACATTGCAACATGTCATTTGTGGATCTACTTCCAGCTTCTTTACAAGAATATGATTGTTAGAGTTATGGAACTCTTTGGCCAGGTACTGCTGCACCTCCACAATTACAGGTAAACCCAAGCAAACTTGGCTGGATGGGACCCGAAAATTATATAACTGCCTCTGTTATGAACCTCATTTTAGATGCTCTTCTCTCATCAAAAGTTTTCACTGAAGATGAAGTTTATTATAGAGGTTCTATCCAAAGGAGATTTAAATATAAAATATGTAAAGGTAGTAACAATTCTTATTTTAGTTGAAAATGAGGGATTTTTTTTAGGTAAATTTTGCTGAAGTATCTTAAAATGGCAATATACATACACACTATTACTGTAAAAGTTTTCATGCAAAAGACTGCTCTTTCTCTCCTTGAAGAAATGCTGCAAAATTCACAAGCTCTCCAGATAACCGAGAAGAACTTGTAAGCTGTATTAGTGACATAGTACTGGGTCTGGGGAGGGAGGGGGGAAAATTTATAAGCATGGTTAGGAAAATCTTTACATTCCAAGAGCATAACTGTTTCTTCATTAGAGTCTGCAAGTAACTGGCTATACAGAATCAAGGTCTATAGCAGAGTGTACAGGAATACACACATACAATATGTTCAAGTCACTAAAGAAAAATATTTATCCAAGAAATATCATATTGGTAGTAAAATCAGGGTCAATAAACTACTAATAAAATAATAATTAAATATAACAAGTATCCATAACAGGTTAGGTGGGAATAAAAATTAAATTAAGGAAACCTTCTAATAATATAAGTATTATTAGTGTAAGTAATAACATTTCCGTGTCAGTTCAAAGACTGGAATATAAGACTTTTAGATGCAAATTTCTTAAATGTATTCTTGAATTCTGACTCTCTCTGTACCAGAAACCTCCATGTCCCTTACAACTCCCCATCAATAATTTTTACTTGTGCCGCAGAGCTCAGTCTGCCTTATGATCTGTATGTCACTAGAGGCCTAAATCTTTTCTTCCATCACAGAACTCCCTCAGCATCCACCTGCTGCAAAGTCAGTCTTTCAGACTATTTTCTGAGATTAAACACATCCTCTATGATAACAACAAGGGACAGTATTGTCAGTGACGTAACAATATCAGTCAGATACTGGTACTCATCTGCTCTGTAGGCAGAGAACTAAAAATCTTAGGGAAATTATCTACCATTTGTTCTCTAATATAGAACAATTCTTCATCCTGTTGACAAAAAGCAAGATGTCTCCTTTTTTTATTTTTTTTTTTAATTTTAATAGACACAGGAAGCGTACTTTGCAACCTCCCAAAGTGCAACAACAAGGTTCCAGGAAGCTTGATAAATTGGGCCATTTAAAAAGCATCAAAAGGCTTACTCCCACAACATCAGAGAGGAGGATGTTGTATTAGATCCATGTGCAAAACCATACCTTTCTGAGGTTTTGGTGAAGTCCCAGGCCTAGATTTTGGGCTACAAAACACTTCTATATCACCTGAGTAACTCATTGGGAACAAAATCAGACTCCATGAAGAACTTTTAACTGTTTTGTAAAGCTGATGAATTTGTTTGCTAAATTTACCTTTCCCTTTAATCTCAGATTAGGGGACACAAAGGGGAGAGTTGAGAACAGTGGATAACTCTCTTCTGCAACAGAACTCATACTGCCTTAAAGACTTTGACCATTAAAGGTGTCAAAACAGCTTCTATGCCACAATAGCTTACAAAGCTGGGCAATTTTGATTCTGATAACTGCAGTTACCTACCTTATAGTGGCTTTGCTCTTCCATGAAATGAGATTTTCTATTAAGAATTTTAAAGAAATTTCAGATAGCTTTTCTTCAAAGTACTCATAAACCTAGCCACAATGTCACATATAATAGATCTTTATATCATGTTAACATTAAGTAACAACCAATTTGTATTACAGCGAACCTTGGAAGACCTCTGGCTGATGAAAACATTGTGCGCACAGTAATTGAATTTTTGACTTACTTGCATCTTAAAGGTTAGTGAATACCTTTTTAATTTTTCATGTTTCCTGATGTGAAATTTACTGAGAAGACAGGACTATCCTTGGATAAATGTGTGCTACAGATTTGAGTCTCAGCTTAATGCCAAGAACAGTTGGTTGAAATTCTGAAACACTTGTTAGTGACCAAAGAAACACATCTCCCTTTCTGCATGTATTCTACGCAACAACACTAAGCTGAATGTTGGCAAAGAGCTCAAAATGCTGCCCGTGAAAACTCTGGAGTCTCAAAATTGTGACAATAATTGTAAAACTGAGCTTACAGATGGTTCTATATGAATAGTAACTTTATTATAGCATTAGGTGAAAATGAAATCTAGCTGCTTCTGACTTTTCATTAGTTTTGCTTCTTATTTTTACTGCAAATGTTTGAGGAATTCCCTGTCTCAGAAAGAAAACAATTCAATAAATCTGTGACTTCTATATTCCCACCTGTATTTACAACAGATTATAAGCAATTTCATGGCAACTGTATGCTGTGGAATAGTAACAAAGAACTGTGTGTTACATTTGCATTTTTATTTCATTATTAAAAGAGACTTTCAAGAGATCCGTTCATTTTCTGCATACCTAAGAAACAAAATTCTAGACCTCTTTGGCATCACTTTCTAAATTATTTGCATCCACCCAAGTGAAATAATTCTCACTATTGAAAATATCAACTCAGTGTCTATTGAATCAGCTCAGGGCCTGAGGTAATTCAAATATGTATTTAAAGCAGCTTATTAGCATGTATATTTACTGTGGACAAAATAATAGCTTCTTGGTGGTGCCACTGTGAAGAAGGAGCCCTAAACATGTCTTTACCGTGCTATGTGAACTTAGGAAGTAAAACCAACAACTGGACACAACAGAAAGGGCATGAAACATGTTGAGCTCCAGCATGCACTCATAATGAGTAGGCTAAGAGCTGCTATAGTCAGGTAAGAAAATAAAATGCATCTTACAGAAAGACAAATTACTTGTTCCTTGGGACAAATGACAAAAAAAGGCTGTATTGAAACTCTAAGTAACAATTCCTTGTTTAGGATAGTGATGACAACCAGCTGTTTTTATTCAGAAAAGATGGTATTATTATCTGTCCTTATTAAGAAAGGAATCTCCAGATCAAAAAAAAAGACTTTTCCCTGAGATAGTTCTTGTATTCCCAGGTTTCAAAAGACATAGAATGTTATCATATTATCCCTTAACAATCTTTACTGGCAAGCACTAGTACAAACTCTTACACAAAACAGAACTGTAGATTTAGGAGGTGAAAAATATACTTTATTATGGTAGAGATGCTTTAACATTTTTGCTCAAATGAAACTTCATTACATTAAATATATTGATTTAGATATGTTCCTTGGAAATGAAAAAATTAATCCCATGAATGGGAAAATCCCCATTCATGGGATTCAGATTCAGGGAATGGTTATTCCAATTAGACATACATTTCAATCTGCAAGATAAAGTGAATATTTTAATTTCTAAGAAGTATCTTGGAGAGAACTAAAAGTGGCCTTCAGCCCTCTCTCTTGAAAATTGCTCCCTTCAGCTTTAAAGGCTTCCCATATTGATGGGATGGCAGGCTACCCCATAGAATTGGATATTAAAACTTCTGAGATGCCGAGATCCAGCAATATCAATTGACATAATAAAACTGATATAATTTCATTGTCATTCTGCCACTGCTGTTTCTAAAAAGATGAATTTATAACAGGAAGATACTATTAACATTTAAAAGAAAAAAACAATAGTTTATAAATTAAGATACGAAAAGTTCAAGGATGTGCCTCTTGTAGTTGAGAGAAGAAAAATATAAAAATATACTACTGAAATTTGATTTCATTATTTAATTGCTAAGATTAATATGCATACTTACACGTGTTAATTTTTTTTTTTCCTTTTTGCAGAAGTGGGAGCACTTAACAAACTACCTTCACCAGAGGAAACAAACCAGTCTTGAAGAAGAATGCATTTTTATTTTGTTGTAGTGTAAATTTGGACCAAATTCTAAACAAAAGATCCGAATGATCTGAAGATGAGAAGTATTGTTTGCATTAATCTGATAAATGGTGAACCGCATTCTGCCCTCTGTTTTGTTTGTGGGTTTTTTGTTTGATTTTTTTTTCCTTCTCTCCTGTGCAAAATTTTGCCTTGGTAAAATTTTTCTGTAGGTAAATTATAAAATAAAAATAAAGAGCAACTACATTGTTTCGTTTTAAAATTAAATACATACCAGCACACAATACATCCTATACAAAGCCCAGGTTAAACTGTAAGATAACACTGCAATTGTACTGTGCAAAATAAAACATAAATAATACATATTTAGTGCTTTAGCTAACTGCGAGAAAGAAAAACAGTGACTTCACCCTGCTACCATACAGAATCTTTTTAGGTCACAGATCTGTCTATATTTCTATGCTTCATGGAAGGCCTACTTCCTCTTCATATTTTCATAGACATGAAATAAACTCATATTCATTTTAAATTTTATATTATTCACCTGTAATACACCAGCCCATTGACTGAAGCATTCCTTCATGCAATACAAATTTAACTGTTCTGCAGAGGTAATAGATTTACACAAATCCTATGTGTAAGATTCCTATTCCTATGTCATCAAGAATACTGGAGCTCTGTTCTTTGATCAAGAAACTCTCCCGTCCACTCTAAGATTTAAGAAATATTTTATTTTATTTTATGAGATTGTCGTGTGTTAGGCCGATCCGGCAACTAAACCCCACACAGCTCTCCCACTCCAGTAAAATGGAGAGGAGAAAAATATAATAAAAAAGCTGAGGGTCAAGACAAGAACAGAGGAGCACACACCAACCATGGTCCCAGGCAAAACAGGCTGTTTTCTTAAAGCAAAACAGTTTATTAACAGCTACCTACAAAAAAAAAAGCACACAAAAACGGTTACTTGAGAGGATAACAAGAAAACAAGGCCAGGTCTTAAAAACACCACCACTCCCCCCCTTTGCCTCTTCTTCCTGGCTCTACCTCCTCCCCCCAGCGGCACAGGGGGGCAGGGAATGGGGGAGTGCAGGTCAGTTCATCCATGTTGTTACTGCCGCTTCTCTTAAAGGAGGAGGAGTCCTTACACCATTGTCCCTTGCTCCAGTGGATCCCCTACTCACAGCGAAAGCGTGAATCCTACCCGCTGGGGGGAAATCTTTACCCCATCGGATTGCCCCAAGTGCGGGCTTTACCAGTCCTGGGCTTTTAAGGAGTTGTAGCCACTCACTCTGGCGTGGGTCATCACACACACTTTAAATGTGCTCTGGTGTGGGTCGTCATATCGACCTTAAATGCGCCTCCGTACAGACTTAGATGCGCAAATGCGCCTCGACCTGTTCCCATGATTCACAAAAGTCCCAGGCTCAGGCATCTCCTTTAACAAAGCACCTCCCCATCGATGGGGGTTGTCCCACGGACTCTAGATGCGTACCGTACTCAGGCTCTGGCATCTCTTCTCACCGTGGATCCTCCACGGGCTGTGAGGGGGTCTCTGCTTGCTCCACCAAGGACTGGTTGCAAAGGGGCCGCTCGCAAGGGGGACTCAGCCGCAGCACACGTTCCGTTCCATCTTCACTGACCTGTATGATGTGTGTGGCCGTTTGTCTCAGATCTCAGTCCTCTCTGGGTGAACTCGGCCCGGTGGGCACCCCGGGAGCAGAGCTCTCCCCGAGTTCCCCAAGGGGCTCCGTCGGGGCCATCCTCGACAGAGCGGGCGTCGGCCCGGCCGGGCGCCGGGAGTGGGGGCCGTGCCCCCCTCCCTTCTCCTCGCTCCCGGGCAAAGAACCTTTCCGGTTCCTTTGTCCTGATGTAAATAGGGCAATTCGCAGAGGCGCCGATTGGCTCAAGCCCCGAGGGGGATGGGAGTCCGGTCTGATGGGCAGCTTCTGCCACCCGGACCTCCCCCCCCCACTTCAAACCATGACAGAGATGCTTTAGTCTGAGTCCAGAAAAGCACTTGAATACATGCTTAATCCCTATGAAAGTGCTTTGACGTACCAGGACCAGAGTGCTAGGCCCACAACAAATGTCATATCAAGAACGGGGAAAAAGGTTAGAGAGGGTACAGAATCTTTGAGAGGTTTTTCACATTCACATAACTTTCAGTCTCTGCATAATCTAATAAAATACCATCCTTTCAAAACACTGCTGTGCACTAGAGTGCACAGACTGACAGAAACTTTGCAGAACATTATTACATAATCTGTTTTTCACTTTTAGCATGACAGAATACATTCTAGATGCTAAGCCACTACTGTCTAATTTGAACCCACAAAGTTATCTCACCTTGTCAACCAGACTGTGCTCTTCCTCTTAATAATCACTAGCCTCTGATCCAACGCCTGATTTTCACTTTCCAAAGTGTACAAAGTATATCCAGTATATCCAGATCCAGTGAGCTTTTGGGCAAGCCCTTCAGACAATGTTCTACTGTTTTTTTTTTTTGAAAGAGTAATAAAAAGTGTACACTGCTAGTATACATTGTATCCCACTTTTGTGCAGGATTAGATCAAACACATATCTGCACTAAAGACAAAAGCCAAAGTCTAAAAAAATTAGTAAAATTTTGTTTTAATGTTGGCCAGTGATATGAAATTACCCAGCATGCAAATTTAACTTTGACAATGAACAGAAGGCTTGCATGACTCTGAACAACTGGACAATAAAATGACAGATTAAATTAAATGCTGATGCAAGCAAAGTAATATGCACACAGAAAAAACCCTCTAATTTTGCATACACATAAAGTCTAAATTATTTCCAGAAAAATAGCTTAGACTCAGTGTAGACAGTCCTCTAAAAAATGTAATTTTAAGCCTCAGCAGTGATTAGAAACACAAATTGAATGTTAGGAATTATAATTACAGTAGCCAAAACCAAACCAGAAAACTATGTCACCATTCCCAACTTTGACACCAGCTGCAGTTCTGCTCAGCTCATTGCAAAAAAAAAGCACTGTAGAACCAGAAAAGCTACAGAGAAAAGTGACAAATATCTTCAGCAACCAAGAACAACTTTTATATTCAGAGAGACTAAATAGATTGTGACTTTAGCTACTAATTACTAATTTAGCTACTAATCCCTTTAGAAAGGGATTAGTAAGGCGAGAAATGACAGTCTTAGATTTTGTGGTAAATGCACTTAGCAAATTCACTTCTTGTAACCCGGGATTTAATGATTACCTGATAAAAAGATCAAGTAACATTTTTAAACCAGAAAAATAAGTTCTTTCCATACATCTCATGATGAAGTTGTGGCACTGACAGGCATAGGACATTGTGGACATCATAGGTTCTGAAAGGAAAAAAGTCCTTCAAGGTCCAAATGACATCAATACCTCAAAAAAATTAAATTGGTTCTCAAAACACATTACAGACATGTATGCACAGAGCTATGAAACAACTCTTAGAACCTGAACCATAATTCAGCGATTAATTAAACAGGGCTTCTTCATCTGCAAAGCATTTGATGTCAGTCTATAAAAGAAACTTGGAAATCACACATTTTTGGCTAAGATTTCTGCAGAAATTAATACTACCTATAACCAAAAAGTATAATTTTATACAGTGCTTCACCTGTTAGGTAGTCTAACTAAGACTTGTTCAAATGCATGTCAGTTCAGCTTAAAAGAGGGAATTTCTGGTCGCACAGCTGGCATAAAACAGTCTATTCAGATTAGGAAGTCATTAAGCAGCTGACAGTGCATTCATTTTCCCACCTGTCTACTCATGTAAAGGTCAGACTGCAAAATTAGCACAAAAAAATTAAGTAGAACTCAGAATGCTTAGGACTTTTGAGGAGCATTGATACTGGGGCTGACAAAACTCTGCTTTCAAGTTTAGTGTTATCTTAGTTAAAACCTACAGCCTCTTTTGCCTGACCAGCATACTAACTTCCTAAGATAACAGAGAAGCTTGGTGTGATTTAGTCTACAAAAGATTCTGACAATCTCTTAGCTGTTTTTTTGACTTTCAAACAAGATGAGGAGATACGATATGAGCTAGTATGTGAGGTAACACATTAATAACTCACAGAAAAAGCAATGAAGGTATTTCAAAAAAGCAACAAGTTAGAAATGGACACCAAGAAATACACACCTCAGGAAATTTCTAAGCAGATATGAGGATTAAAAGAAAATTTGGAACTCAAGTGTTATTAGCAGAACCAATCATAGAATCATAAAATGGCTTGGGTTGGAAGGGACCTCAAAGATCATCTAGTTCCAATCCCACTGCCATGGGCAGAGAAATCCTCCACTACAGCAGGTTGCCCAAAGCCTCAGCCAACCTGGCCTTGAACACTTCCAGGGATGGGGCATCCACAACTTCTCTGGGCAACCTGCTCCAGTGTTTCATCACGCTCATAGTAAAAACTTTCTTCCTTATATCTAATTGAAAATGCAAATAATAATTCTGATACTTAATTTTGTGAAGACTGAGCATGACATGGAACAGCCATAGAAAGCTGCAACTCACAGATTGCTCTCCTGCTCAGATTCAGTATACAAATGTCAACTGATAAGATTTTAAATACCTCAGAGCATAGGTTATTTCTCAATTCATGTGCAACACAGCACCTCTCAGAAATGAGCTTTTTAAAGCCAGAGTTAACCTGCAGATGAGAATTATTTTAACTCCTTGTTTGTAAAACACTACATTATTCCCAAATACTTGATCAAATTCCCTTGAGATTCAACTCGTGAATGTTCCATCATCTGTGGTATTTCTAATCTAACTGATCTCCACAGATTTTCCACTAATTAAGTATGTATGAATCATATAGCCTTTCTCAGTGCTGGGAGACATGAGTCTCATATGGAATGTCTGTTTGAGGAGAAAAGTCTAAAATACCAAAATGCAAGCTACCTCAAATCAGCATAAAATGTTAACATTCCATTGGCAATGTTTGTTGGGGTTTTTTTTTGCCTTTGATAAAGTTTCTAATACAAATGTTGACGATTTATCACTTACAAACGCTCAAATGACAAATTCAGAATGGATTGCGTCTATAATTTTCTCTTCAGAGTGTTTGAGGTTATATATTTTCTTGAAATTATTCTTTTATTTAAAATCATTCTATCAGAAAATAATTCGTCTGATTTCTGAAAACTGTGACTATTAGTTACATTTATCAGTAGTAAAGGTGGCATTTATTTTCAAGATTTAAAACTGAGGCTGTGAT